ACCCATTTTTTTCTTTATTTTTTCAAAATCAGAAAGTAATAAATCTGAATGTAAGAGATTTGACAAATAAGAGATTTGTAGGGAGAGAATGGAATAAGGAGAACAAGAAAAGCATAACAAAACAAAGCAACCTTAGCAACCTTAGCTAAATTAGCAATAAAATGTATATATGGTTTCATGAAAGGCCATTAGTCAATGATAATCCAAGAATTTGTAAAGAGAACTCAGTGGGAGAGTTGCCATTCATTAATATAGGAATGTCGACAATACTGCAATAGTTGTTTGCAGTAAATAAATAGTTGTTTACAGTAAAATAAATTGGAATGGAAGAAAGAGAATGGCCATATCCTTGGGAGAGGTAATAAGATCAGTCCCATGAATGATAGGTGGAATGTTAGACCTATCTTGTTATCAACGCTATTGAAGATTTTCCAAAAGTCTCTAGAGCCCAACTTCTGAGCTAAGTAATGAACTTAATAAACTAAGCAATAAACTTCTGAGTAAATAACGCAATAATAGGATGAGAACAAAGAAGAAGTACGAGATGAAAGATTTAAAGAGATCATTGCATGGTCAGAACCACCTAAATGACAACAAGGAGAAACTGTACACAAACTAGAGACAGAGACAAAACTCAAATCAAGGTAAGTGATTAGGGTCGCCTGGAAAATGAGTTACAAAGTTAACTATTTAAGTAAAAGATTAAAAAATACATAAGTTATGAGCTTTAGTGACACCTGGATCATTGGTGCTAGAGCAAAACCATTAAGTGTGATGAGCATTAAAGTTACCAATAACAACAATATCAGCAGAGGAATAAAGAGATAGGGCATAGTTAGAAAGCACATCTAAAAGAGTGCAACCTCTTCCCTCTATTGCCAAAGGATATAGTGAAGCACAGGTTTCCCAGCCTACATTTAGGATAACTGCATTGTGACTTGAACTTATTTGGAGAATACATTTTTGAAATATAGAGTTTGTTAGTTTGCACACTACAGGATAAAGGATGTGAATCATCAAAGACTCTGTTTGAAATATTATTAAAAGTACTTTAAAATTGTTAAACGGGCTGAAAAAGCACATAAAGATAAATAATGTCAGTTAAGACCATTTTCCACAAGACGAAAAATTCGCATGAAGCGAATTTTTTCATCAATAAACATGCACAGATTAAACATTTTTGGCGATTATGCTGATTTTTCTTTGCTACAGCGTTTTGCTGCAGCGAAAAAAAGTAGGTTTCATTTTGACTTTTTGCGAAAACCAATCAAAGTTTAAATATCAATCACATGAAAAAAAAAATGGCAACAACAATGAACAAAATGCTCAACTTATTATTGATTTACTTAAAATTCAACCTGAACATTTGCAAGCATTATTAAGTTTATCAAATAAAGATTAAATTCAAAGTTTCACTCCACAAGAAGGTTTATTTTCGTTCAGAGTTGAAACATCTGTTGCTTCATGCAGTAACAGTTTTTCCACAGAAGTTTTCCTATCAGAGAATAGCATTTTTTTTTTTAAACATTCTTTAAAAAAATTATATCAAATACTATTTTTGAATAAATTGTATTAAAAAATTATACTTTAATTCAATTATTTACCATATTTCAGATTAGAAAGTATCCATGTTTGTGAGATGTATCTCACCAGTCATACAAAGATAGAAGTATTAAAATGAACGCGTGGAAAGAAATTTCCACATCTTTTAAAAGAGAAAGTAAGTAAAAATAGTAATTATAGGTTGTAGATAAACATTAGTTTTATATACATACACTTCAACATTTACTTTTTTGTGTTTCAGTTAAAGTAATGCACAAAAAATTAAAAAACTTAAAAGATACTTTAAAAAATGCTTCGACAAACGTAATAAGATAACTAAATCAGGTGCTGGTGCATCAGCTTTACCAAAATGCAAATACTATGAAGAAATGTTGTTTTTACATGATAAGAACAACAATATTTCAACTCAAAGTAATTTTGAATTAGAAGAAACTATAACTGAAAATGAAGATCAGATTGCGACTCCAATTGCTGTAAAAGCCAAAAAAATGAGGCAGATAAAAAAATAATGCGAGAACTTTTAAACTTTGATAGCAAGCTAAAAAAAGTTATAACTCATAGTCAATGTGAAGACACAATATACTGCCAAAGTTACACTGACAATATACTGCCAAAGTTTAGTACCAATATACTGCCAAAGTTTAGTACCAATATTGAAGACTTTACCACTTAAAAAAAAAAAAGAATAGTTAAAATTAAAATATCTCAATTGTTGTATAAGCTTGAATTTGATTAAAAATGTGAATAAAAAATAATTTTTTTTGTTATTTATTTTGTAAACAAAGAAAAAAATTGGTTTTAAATTAAAAACCTTTAGTCTTTTTGATAAGTAGTATTGTTTATTAATGACCATTGCCAATCAACTGCCCTGTCAGTATTATAATATTTTTTGAAGTTGTTTCTAATTTTTTGAGCATCTTTAGAATGATTATTACAAGCAGAACTTGAAACATCTTGTAAACCTTGTTCATCGTTGATTTCTTTTCTCAATTCACCAGGTATTAATTTATTTTGACCATCCTGATCAATATAAGTATTTGGACAGTAATCATAATTAAAACTCTCCTTTCTTTTTGACATTAAAAAATTATGAAGTGCGACAACAGCTTTTGTTATAAGCACAACTTTTTTTGTTGAAGCAATAATAGGTCTTCTGAATATCCGAAATCTAGATGCAGCTATACCAAATGCATTCTCAACTATTCTCCTAACACGCGACAATCTGTAGTTAAATATTCTTTTTTTGTACGAAAGATTACAAAATGGATAAGGTTTCATCATTTGAGGCTTTAAACTAAATGCATTATCTCCAACAAACACATAGGGGGCAATATTGTTTCAGTACCATTTACTTTACATGCTTGAGGAATGTCAAGCAGATCATTTTCAATAGCATAACCAAGTTGACTATTTGCATATACACTACCGTCACTTTGTCTTGCACTATTTCCTAGTGAAAATCTAATAGTGAAAATTGATATTTTGCATAGCACACAGCCAAAAGAACAATACTATGTGCCTTTATGTAGTAATAAAACAATGAGCCAGAGCACGCAGGAGCTTGCAAAACTACATGCTTTCCATCAATAGCACCTAAGCAATGGGGAAAATTCTATTTGTTCTCGAAGTCAGTAGCTATTTTTTTCCATTCAGAAGATGGTGGATCTATGTATTTTTTTATAAAAAGTGATACCCATATGGCTCTACATGTTTCACTTATTCTTCTTCCGACAACTGAAGGACTCATGCGGTAAATAATTGCTATTGTTGTCTGTGTGTCACCGGTTAACAAAAAACGCATTGTAACACAAAATCTTTCTGGAGCAAATATACAATCTCTCATATGGGTAGATTTTTTTTTAATCAATGGACACACCCAAGACAATAGTTCTTCTAATATTGTTGGTGACATGCAAAAATAACGAAAAAATAGTTTGTGGTAAAACAATTTTAAATCTTTAACAAGATTATATTCTCCTTTTTGTTTACAATCTAAATAAAATTTTCTTATCCAAAATCACTTCTTATACTTTATTTGCGATTTGTTTCTTGAATGCAATAAAAACTTAATATAAAGCAATTTTTGTTTTAAAAGCATGCAGCGTAAACTTATAGCTGCCATTATTTATTATTAAGTAGCACAAAAAAAGTGTGAAAATCAAAACGGCGTTTCAACATGACAAAAAAAATTTGCTTCGCGTGAATATTTCGTCTTGTGGAAAACGACTTTTATGAGCTTTAGCGACACCAGGGTTATTGGTGCTAGAGCCAAACCATTAAGTGTGATGAGCATTAAAGTTACCAATAACAACAATATCGGGAGAGGAATAAAGAGATAGGGCATGGTCAATTTGATTAGAAAGCACATCTAAAAGAGTGCAACCTCTTCACTCTATTGCTGAAGGATAAAGTGAAGCACAGATTTCCTAGCCTACATTTAGGATAACTGCATTGTGACTTGAACTCTCCATTATCATTTGTTAACTTTTTTTGGTGAATACATTTTTGAAATATAGAGTTTGTTAGTTTGCACATTACAGGATAAAGCATGTGAATCGTTAAAGACTCTGTTTGAAATATTACTAAAAATGCTTTCAAATCAATAAATGAGCTAAAAAAGCACATAAAGATGAATAACTAAAAAAATCTTAAAATCTAAATCTAAAAACGATATCTTTTGTTAATTTAACAATAACAATTTACAATTTACAACTTGTAAAGTTTGCACTATCTCAGGATAAGAAACTTGGTCATCTGTATAGACATTTAAACATCCAACACCTTAAAGTCTGAATGATCCATCGAACTGCTTTTGATTAATAGATATTTTACTAGGATCTTTGCTTATATGTTTTTTACCTTTATCATACTTTATTTGACTAATACCACTGAAAGGTATACTAAAAGAAGTCTATATAAGTCTATAAATAATTACATTTTGTTAATTGTAATGTTTGCTACATAGGACGAACTGTCCAGAACTTTTCATATTGCATTGATGAACATTTCAAGCAAGATAAAAAATCTTACATTATTTAATGAATAGCATTGAGTGTCAGAGGTATGACACTCTGATTGCTTATTTATTTTGGATTCTGTTCAAAGCAGATATGAATTAGAAATTATGAAAAACTTACATAATAAAGTGGCAACGACTTGGTTTAAATAAACAAATTAAACTTAAAATTATTTTAATATTTGAAAATTTTGATTATTATGATTGGTCTGTTGTTGTTGTTTTTTGACATTAATATAAACTTATTTTTCTCTTACTACTTGAAACCTTTTGTATTTTTCTATTGATATTAGACAGAAGCATTTTAATATTGCATCTTAATGGTCTTTATAACCTTTGTAATAGATTTTATAGTATTGTATATATTGTATAGCATTTGAAAAGTATGAAAGAATTTAAATTAAAAAAATATTAATTTTACCACTACTTTTCTTCTTCATACAGTTTGGTACTGCATGGTCAGGTAGAGTATTATTCTCAGTTAATAAAATACTTCTTAAAGTTGATTTCTGAGCACATGGTACATCAGTCTGCCATCTATCAGGAGGAGTGGTCACAGCCTTGTTTTTTTTGAAAAAAATATAATTATTATCTCTCTAAAAAATTTTCTCATTAATTTCAAGACAAAATAAAATCAACTTAATAAAAATTAGTTAAAATTTTTCAATTTTAAGAGATTGTAAAATGTAAACTCATTAAAAAAATCTATCAAAACATAAATTTATGATATGCAAATAATAATTACAATAAATAAGTATTATACAAAATAAGAACAATAAAACTACATACTGCAATTTCAGAATTAAAATCCTTTGATATTGAAGCTCTATATTTGTTATTAAAATCCTTTAGTGTATTAAAAGATGTATAGCTTGTGGAAGACTTATTGCTATTAAGACCAGATATATTAGGAGTTTGTTTCAAAGTAGCAGTTTTTAATTGACTGGAAACATTTAATTCATTTAAACTTTTTTTGCATTGTAAAGTTTGTTTTCTTTTTCTTCTTGATTGAACTGGTAAATTACAATTTAAAATAAATTCTTGTGGAATTCCATTTGGAAAGTGTAAAATTTCTCCGGTGGATTCTTCAATTAAAGAAACAGAATTGTAAACTGAAAACTGAAAAGTATTGTCAGAAACACTCTCATCAAAAACTTTTTGATCACTAACCATTGGTATCATATCAATTCCAGGTATACTTTGCAATTGCTGTTGATTTTGAAAACACATGATATGTTGAGACTGTTCTTTACCTAGAATTGCAGATTTCATTTTTGATTTCAGTTTTTAAATTAATTTTAGTTAACTAAATAAATTATAAAAAACAGAATTAATTTCTTGATCCATTTTTTTCTTTATTTTTTCAAAATCAGAAAATAATAAATCTGAATGTTTGAACATATTGATCTGAATGTTTAAACATTTTTTTTTAGTTAACTTAATTTTAGGTTTAATTTAAATTTACTTTACTTCACAAAAAATAAACAATAAATAATTATTAACAATAATAACAGTATTGCAGTAGTTGTATGCAGTAAATAACTTTTGTGTAAGAGATGCAGTTAATTGTTTATTGAACTAGCATTAAAGTAAGCACATTTATAGGTTTTAAAAGGTAGCTTTTGTAAGAAGGTTGATAAATAATTGGTGTTGGTGTTAAAGCTAATTTGCTGGATATCGGTCGTTAACTGAATTGGTAATTGCCATTTCTTGAGTTTTACTACCTTATTACTTCTAATACTGTATTAAAAATCTCCATCTGAATTAGTTTTTCTCTTTGCACTGTTCTTCTAATTGTTTTGAATTATATCTTCTAGTTTGGGTTTGATCAGGGTTGATATATACTTTTTCTTATTCTTTTGAGTTTCTTAACTATTTAGATTTTCTTAATATTGCATTTCTTTCAGCTTTATCCTTTAGCACTACTATAAATTGAGCATTACAACCATTGTAAAGCTTCACTTTTATAACATTATGAATGATAACATTCCCATCGTGTCTGTTTATTACCTTTTATATTTATAGTAACTTTATTTTCTTCTTTTTCTGTTTTAGGATCTGCTTTTGCAGATGCAATTAGCCCAAAATAAAATTTATCATTCTCCCCTTTCTCTTTCTTTTTTGCGTCATTTGTAACAAAGCTAACATTAACTTCATTACTTCATTTATTACTCTTTTTTATCAATAAAACTTATATTATGTTAAGTAACATGATAAAATATGTTAAGTAACATAATACAATATGTTAAGTAACATGACATATCTGGAAAACCAGAATAACAGTACTGTTATTCTGGTTTTCCAGATATTTCAGATATTAATACTTTTTTTTTTCCAGGATTTTAATTCTGATCAATTGATTTGTATCCCTCTTCTTGCAATCTCTCCTATTCCGTTTGTTAACTCTTTTAAGTAACTACTTTACAGCCTTTAAACACAAAAATTAAACTTGAGGTAGTCTGTGCTTTGATTTTTTTTTTTAAATACTGATTTACTCCCAACAAGGCTCCAAGCATCCACTATTAAGTTGGGAGAAAAAAATAACGAAATTAGAGAACAAGGAAATGGTTGACAGGAGACTTAAAAAGTTGAAGGTTGTATGAATCAGGAAAACATGAAGATGGGAGAGAAGGTTTCAAAGAGTTAAAGTGCGGGGAAAAAAACTAGATGAACAGAAGTTTTTGGAGAAAATAAAGTAAACGAATGAGACTTTGATGAATAAAAAATCAAGCGAGAATCAGTTTTAGTTGATGGAACTAAAGATGATAGCTAGTTTGAGCAGCAACTGTGGTAGTATATCTAGAAAAGAGAAAGAAATGCAACTTTACGACAATGGGAATAAGACTCAAGCTTAGCAGACAGAGCGGGTCTAACTAAGTTTAAATTCGTTTTTGGGCATTGTCTAGAAGAGGAAAAGCATCATTAAAAGAACCAGCCCAAATTTGATAACAGTATTCCATACTGGGACAAATAAGAGATTTGTAGGGAGAGAATGGAATAAGGAGAACAAGAAAAGCATAACAAAACAAAGCAACCTTAGCAACCTTAACTAAATTAGCAATAAAATGTATATATGGTTTCATGAAAAGCCAGTAGTTAATGATAATCCAAGAATTTGTAAAGAGAACTTAGTGGGAGAGTTGCCATTCATTAATATAGGAATGTCAACAATACTGCAATAGTTGTTTGCAGTAAATAAATAGTTGTTTACAGTAAAATAAATTGGAATGGAAGAAAGAGAATGGCCATATCCTTGGGGGAGGTAATAAGATCAGTCCCATGAATGATAGATGGAATGTTAGACCTATCTTGTTATCAACGCTATTGAAGATTTTCCAAAAGTCTCTAGAGCCCAACTTCTGAGCTAAATAATGAACTTAATAAACTAAGCAATGAACTTCTGAGTAAATAACACAATAATAGGATGAGAACAAAGAAGAAGTACGAGATGAAAGATTTAAAGAGATCATTGCATGGTCAGAACCACCTAAATGACAACAAGGAGAAACTGTACACAAACTAGAGACAGAGACAAAACTCAAATCAAGGTAAGTGATTAGGTTCGCCTGGAAAATAAGTTATGAAGTTAACTATTTAAGTAAGAGATTAAGAAATACATAAGTTATGAGATTTAGTGACACCAGGGTCATTGGTGCTAGAGCCAAACCATTATGTGTGATGAGCATTAAAGTTACCAATAACAACAATATCGGGAGAGGAATAAAGAGATAGGGCATGGTCAATTTGATTAGAAAGCACATCTAAAAGAGTGCAACCTCTTCACTCTATTGCTGAAGGATAAAGTGAAGCACAGATTTCCTAGCCTACATTTAGGATAACTGCATTGTGACTTGAACTCTCCATTATCATTTGTTAACTTTTTTTGGTGAATACATTTTTGAAATATAGAGTTTGTTAGTTTGCACATTACAGGATAAAGCATGTGAATCGTTAAAGACTCTGTTTGAAATATTACTAAAAATGCTTTAAAATCAATAAATGAGCTGAAAAATGTATAATGTCAGCATAAGAAACTTGGTCATCTGTTTGAACATCCAACACTTTAAGATCTAAATGATCCATCTAACTACTTTTGATTAATAGATATTTTACTAGGATCTTTGCTAATATGTTTTTTACCTTTTACTTTTTGATAATTTGTTTGAATTTTTTAAAGAAGAAAAAAAAAGAGGATTTCAACTAAAGAAAAATATTTCTCAGAGATTTATTGATTTCTTAAAAATTAGAGATTAGAAAACTTTTTTTTTTAAATAAAAGCAGGGCAGTTCTTAACTTAGCGCTTATAAAAAATATATGTTTTAGTTATATATTTGTATTTAATTTATTAATGTCTTAGAATTTTTGGTATTTTAAAGGTGTTTTTCTAAATTTCCTCATCTTCCTTTTTCTAAATGCCACTCTAAGATTGTTTAAGGGATCCCCAACTGCCAAGACAAGTTGTGTTTATATTGAAGAAAATGATTAAAAAAAACATTTAGGCATAATTTTTTTGATTAAAACTATATAATGAATGCACACCATTAAATTTAAAATTCACGTTTAAGTCAAAGCTCGCCGTCTCCATTTTGTTTTGGTTCTCATAATCTGTATAATGTTAGCCGCAATCTGCAGTCTTGATAATTTATTCAATACATATTTAATTCATAACAGTTTTGGTATATGATGTCAGCGTATAAATTTTTTCTTTCAAGATGTCGTATTATTTTTTTGCCAAAACCACCAAATCATGTTAGGGGTCGTCCATAAATTACATCACACTTAGGGGGTGAAGGGTAGGCAATTTTGTGATGATTTGTTACGACGAGGAGGAGGAGGAGGAGGAAGGGGGAGGAAGGGGGGTCTCAATTTTGTGATGCAACACTTTTTTTTTTTTATAGAGAAGATGTTCTCTTAGTTAAAAGAGTATCTGACCTAACCAAAACTCTCAGTTGATATATCTACATGTTGATTGTAATATTAACTACTGCATGACATAATTTATGGACGACCCCTTAATTGTATAACTTTTTACTAAATCCCAAAATTAGTTATGATGCAATTAAAAATTAAATTTATAAAATTTATAAAAATAAAAATTTAATATATAACGAATATTTACAGTAAACGTAGTGGTTTAAACTAAATATAAACTAAATACTAAAAGAATAATTTTACAAAAGCGTATAAATTAATTTAAAGTATAAACTGAAAAAAAAAAAGAGTGACTTGAATAAAACATATAAACTGAACTAAGGAGAAAATAAATATTAAACGACTTATTTTAATAATAACCGTTCAAATCAAACTAAATTAAAGTTAAAACAAATATTTGTATTAAAATATACAAGAAAGTGTATAAAATATAAATATAAAAACAAAGAATCGCATTAAATTGTTCGCTACCAGCCGAACAAAAATCTTTTTGTAGCAACCAAACATTTTTTAAAATAACATTCGAATAGCATAACATTGACAATTAATTAAAATTTGGTAATAATAAAGTTTTTAACACGCATCATTAAATAAAAATAAATGCAAAGTGCTTAAAACTATTGTTTTTGTAAGTAGTAACTAAAACATTAAGTCCAAAACAAACGTCATTTAATGAATAAAAATATTTTTTCTTCAAAATTTTTTGGTTATTACTTAACTAAATACTTAACACCTCAACAAGTTGAGTTTTACAGTGTTAACACTGCTTTATTTTATAACTAAATTTTAAGTTTTTTTATGAAGGATTATTCAAGATTTTTTAACTTTGTGATAACTTTTTTATAATTACACAATATAGCTCTTATTTTTTCTTGATTATGCAGAGAATTAATTAAACCTTCAAAACAAACAAATTTTATGTGTCTAGAATGGAAATTTATGTGCAAAACAAGATAAATTGTAAAGCATACTCGAATGCCGCTACCAGTAGCTTGCGGTAGTGAAAGAGTTAAACCATACTAAATGTAAATTAAACATAAAACGAACAACTCTATTGAACCATATGAACTAAATATAAAACAAAAAACCGCATCATACTGCCATCAAAAACAATTCCATTTGTTTTTTAAATACTTTAGTTGACTAATACCACTGAAAGATATACTAAAAGAAGTCTTACAATAATTGCAATAAGCTAAATTACAATTGTGATTCACAGCTAAAAGCCATTTGAATGTGGTTTTCTAAAATGTTTAGTAAGTGATATTTTAACTAATAGTAAACTAGTAAAATAGTGAATTATCAAAGTACAATTTTTTTTTTTTAAATCAAGTAATATTTCTCATTAAAAGACTTGATTCCAAAAAAAATCTTAGTTCCATAGAAATAATTACATTTTGTTAATTGTAATGTTTGCTACATAGGATGAACTGTCCAAAACTTTTCATATTGCATTAATGAACATTTCAAGTAAGATAAAAAATCTTACATTATTTAATGAATAACATTGAGTGTCATAGGTGTGACACTCTGATTGCTTATTTATTTTTATTATTATTTATATATATTTTTATTATTATTTTTATATTTATTTTTATTATTATTTATATATATTTTATTATTATTTTGGATTCTGCTCAAAGCAGAATTTAAAATAAATAAGGTATGAATTAGAAATTATGAAAAGATTACATAATAAAGTGGCAATGACTTGGTTTAAATAAACAGTTTAAACTTATTTTACTATTTAAAAATTTTGATTATTACAATTGGTGTGTTGTTGTTGTTTTTTGACATTAATGTAAACTTATTTTTCTCTAACTACTTGAAAGCTTTTGTATTTTTCTATTGATCTTAGACAGAAGCATTTTAATATTGCATTTTAATGGTCTTTATAACCTTTATAATGATTTTATTATAGAGTTTTGTAATAGAGTAATTATTTTTGAAACCTGCATAAAAAAAGGTTTTTTAATAACTTTTGTAAACTTTACTGATGATAAACTTTGTTGTTTGAAACATGTTTAATAATAACATTGTAAAAGTGTTGTTCATTTTATACAAATATTTATTTCAATAGATCATATGATAATATATTTGCCGTATGATCTGTTGAATAAAACATATATATATATATATATATATATATATATATATATATATATATATATATATATATATATATATATATATATATATATATATATATATATATATATATATATACACATACATACATACATATATATATATATATATATATATATATACACATACATACATACATATATATATATATATATATATATATATATATATATATATATATATATATATATATATATATATATATATATATATATATATTAACGAAGAAAAACAACTTTTTCTATGGTACTTTAAGTTTCATGCCTATACGACAATCATCAGCCATTGAATACAAAATCAAAAACAAAAAACCTGCTAAAAATTACAAAATACTGTGTAGTGGGATTTTAACGTCGCTAAGACACTCTTGATGGCAACCAAAGAAAAAACAAAATATTAGCCAATCTCCGGTGCCAAAAAAAATAAAAGGAATTTATTTTTGTGTCTGCATTTTGAAATCAACTCATTTTGTTTATTTAATAAGTTATCATCTTTGTATGTTAAAATGAGGAGTTTTTCGAATAAGCAAAGATGGCAAATTTTTGACGAGGCGTTATAAGTATTGCAACGTTTCACAAATTTCTACTTAATTAAAGGTGTAAACATTTTGTCTTTTATGTCCCAAATTTCTTTAGACAAAGATTTGAATGGAGTTTCACATAATCCAAAATATACTTTTTCTTTGTAGTCAGGTTTATTTGATGACACAGTGGCTTGATAAACGATGTTTTTTGTCAAGCACTGATTGTTCATGGGATAGATGTATTTGTTGACACAATTGCATGTTTTTCCCTCATCTTTATCTCGGCTATATAATATCCTGTGGTTGTGCGAATTAATGATGGACTTGATATTTGGCATACATGAGTAGCTTATTTTAATGGTATTTCGATTAAATATCTTATGAAGTTTGTGACCAACCGGAAAATGTAGGTCTACCAAGTTCAAAAAACAACTGCCTATTTTTGTTGCAACATTGGTACTGAAAGATGGGTTGTACCAGATTATGTTTCGCTTGTGATTTTTGAATTGGATTGGTTTTATATTTGAATGGTAAGCGAATTTGCAAATAAAACCTGATTTAGATAATGCATCTTGATAAAGAGGAATGGATTGTTTAAAAATATTTTCGTTAGAAGAATTGCTTAACAATCTCAGTTCGATAGTTTGAGGAAGGCTTTTTAGTAGAAGGATGGATAGAGCCAGCATATATATAACTGATGGAATTACCAGGTTTGCAGTAAGGCTGGAAAAAACTGTATATCGCTCTATTTGAAATATTTTTTTAATATTGAGCACTCTTTTTCAATTATGAGTTTTGTTTTATTATTATAAGACAAAACAACCTTAAATATCAATATATATATATATATATATATATATATATATATATATATATATATATATATATATATATATATATATATATATATATATATATATATAGTTTTTTGAGGAGAAATGCAGTTTTTAACTTAACAAGCCTTTAAAAATTTTAGTAGAAAATCTTGTTAACATCCCAGAGTTTCACATTTTTATTGGTATTAATTCTATGCTTGTAAAATTATTACTTACTCTGTGGCATAATTTGAACTTGACATTAGTCTAACTATATTTTTTTAGACATTACCATGGAACAGGTTTAGTTAGTAACAACTTAAAATGATTTTTAGATAAATTAGATAATCTAGAAGTTAACTTTTTAAGTACAATAACTCCAAAACAATTCTCAAAAGAATTTCAATTTTTTCTAAAATCCACTTTATTTTGGATAATTTTATGAAAAAACCTGTTTTTCAAACCATTAGGAAAAAAAGTATGCAATGTTGAGTTGACAAATATTTTGTATAGCATTTGAAAGAATGAAAGAATTTAAATAAAAAAAAATTATAATTTTACCACTTCTTTTCTTCTTCATACAGTTTGGTACTGCATGGCCAGGGTGTGAATTATTCTCAGTTAATAAAATACTTCTTAAAGTTGATTTCTGAGCACATGGTACATCAGTCTGCCATCTATCAGGAGAAGTGGTCACAGCCTTGTTTTTTTTGATAAAATATAATTATTACCTCTCTAAAATATTTTCTTATTAATTTCAATACAAAATAAAATCAACTAACGTAATAAAAATTAGTTAAAATTTTTCAATTTTAAGAGATTGTAAAATGTAAACTCATTAAAAAAAATCTATTAAAACATAAATTTATGATATGCAAATAATAATTACAATAAATAAGTATTTTACAAAATAAGAACAATAAAGCTACATACTGCAATTTCAGAATTAAAATCCTTTGATATTGAAGCTATATTTTTGTTATTTAAGTTCTTTAGTGTATAAAAAGATGTGTAGCTTGTGGAAGACTTATTGTTATTAAGATCAGATATATTAGGAGTTTGTTTCAAAGTAGCAGTTTTTAATTGACTGGAAACATTTAACTCATTTAAACTTTTCTTGCATTTTAAAGTTTGTTTTCTTTTTCTTCTTGATTGAACTGGTAAATTACAATTTAAAATAAATTCTTGTGGAATTCCATTTGGAAAGTGTAAAATTTCTCCGGTGGATTCTTCAATTAAAGAAACAGAATTGTAAACTGAAAACTGAAAAGTATTGTCAGAAACACTCTCATCAAAAACTTTTTGATCACTAACCATTAGTATCATATCAATTCCAGGTATACTTTGCAATTGCTGTTGATTTTGAAAACACATGATATGTTGAGACTGTTCTTTACCTAGAATTGCAGATTTCATTTTTGATTTCAGTTTTTAAATTAATTTTAGTTAACAAATTAAATTATAAAAAACAGAATTAATTTCTTGACCCATTGCTTTTTTTTTTTCTTCAAAATCAGAAAGTAATAAATCTGAATGTTTGAACATATTGATCTGATTTGTTTAAACATTTTTTTTTTAGTTAATTAAATTTTAGGTTTTATTTAAATATACTTTACTTCACAAAAAAATAAACACTTAATAATTATTAACAATTGGGAAGTACATATTTATTATTTTTTCATGATTATGTTACTCCAAAATACAAATTTTGACAATTAACTGAGGAGGTTACTACAGTAGAGAAGAATACATATTTATTTTTATATTTAAAGCTCAATAACACAAGCCTTAAAGTACAAGCTCCCAGCACAGTGAAAAAGGTTGAGGTCAGTACTACCAGGGATAAGCTGTCTTTATTCAATAACCGGTTGAGTGGGTTGAAAATAAAAAAACTAAAAATATAATATAACTTATTATAATAAAAAAAACTATCATTTTTGAACCTGGAATTTATGGTTACAAAAACACAAGGACTTTAGATTCGAAAATGGAATTGTTAAGGACTCCAAAAACCCTGTAGTATTTTTTTAAAAATCAAATTCACTCCGAACAAGGTTGAAACTATTAAATTGCGAATTACTGGAAAACAAAGAATAGTTAAAGAACAAGGAAGCAGTTGATGGAAGACTCGAAAAGATGTAGGTTGTAAGATTAGTGAAAACATGAAGATGGGAGACAGTTCTAAAGGATTGAAGTGAAGGAAAAAAACTTGTTAAGTAAAATTCTTTAAAGCACAGACAAATGCATGATAAGAGTTGTAGAATAAAAAGAGAGATTTTTACGACGATGGGAGAGTGGTTCAAGCTTGCAGATAAAGCAGGTCAAACTATGTTAACAATATGCTTTTGTACCTTGTCCAAAAAAGAAAAAGCATCACTACAAGAACTAGCCTAAATAACATAATATAAATAATAATGAAGTACTTTAAAATTAAGTAAGTATGAGAATGTACCTACATAATTCTATAAATATGATTTAGTTACTTTAAATTTTCTTTTATGCTATTCATTTTATTTACATTATTTAATTCTTGTTCATTAAATAACATTTTAGAAGTGTATATATATATATATATATATATATATATATATATATATATATATATATATATATACACTTCTAAAATGTTATTTAACGAACAAGAATTAAATAATGTAAATAAAATGAATAGCATAAAAGAAAATTTAATGTAACTAAATCATATATATATATATATATATATATATATATATATATATATATATATATATATATATATATATATATATATATATATATATATATATATATATATACACTTCTAAAATGTTATTTAACGAACAAGAATTAAATAATGTAAATAAAATGAATAGCATAAAAGAAAATTTAATGTAACTAAATCATATATATATATATATATATATATATATATATATATATATATATATATGAATACATTAATGATATACTAACAATAGAGTGTGAAAGAACAATGATTAGAAAACTTCAAAATCAGTAGATACATTTATATCTTGAACTGAATTAATAGATTTAATAGGTGTATGAATGTTTATTGAGTATGAACTTAACGGTAAAGAACTATTTTCATTTCATAGATGAAAATATTTTTTGGTTGTGGCATGGAAATTTTTTTAAGGTATTGATAAGGTGTATGTTGTTTCCATCATTGATTGCTTGATAAAACTTACTGTCATCAGCAAACAATTTAATGGGTCCCAAAACAGTACCTTGAGGTATTCTGCTCTTTACAAGAATTTTGTTGGAATATGAGTTACAGACACAGACATATTGGTTAAGAAGTTTAGTAAATCATACTGTACATAACTGTACATACCATAACAATACATGTTGAACAGTAACTTAGAATGAGTCACAGAATCAAAGGCTTAAAGTCTATTTATGCAATATCAACTGTATTTTAATTATTAGCAGTAACGGTCACCTCATTTAAAATTGTCAATATCTGTGTAAAGATAGACCTGAAATACAATATCTATTTCTGCATCATACAAATGAGAACAAATCTTGTATTTGGCATGAATGGATGTATGACCAGTTCTTTTGTACTCTTTATAGAGAATACATTTTTTGGAGGCTAGTATCTGAATGGCAAGAGATTAGAAATTATTTTTTTTATTGCAATGTACTAAAACATGTAATGAAATAGATGAACTTAAATATTAACAAATAATTTGCTAGAATGCTTTAACATCTTGATTTTGCTTGGCAAGTATTGTTGCATGGTAACCAGTTTATATTTTGTAAATCGGATTGCATAGACTTGTAACCACCTTCATAAAAAAATGTTTAAAAAATTAGTTGATTTTTTACTGATTTAGATTTCTCCAAATTACAATTAAAATGAATCATGCAGTGTCACAAGTGCTTGTGAATGGGGCAATAGTTTCTACATTAAAAACATTTTTGGCGTTGTGGGTTAGTATTAGATCTAGGAGGTTATTATATCAACTATTACCAAATACAAACTGGCCTAAAGCATTTGCTGAACATGTTTCTACAAATAGGTCAAGGAACAAATCTCCGAAACTATTTGGGATTAACCAGTTTATGAGGTAGGGTAAAGTCACCTGCTATGATATATATAGAGTTGCGCTTGGAAGTAATTATATAAATTAACTTGAACAAAACTTCGGTTCTTAAAATACTGGTGACAGCACATGGAGGGTGATAAACACATGAAAGTAAAATTTTTATGGGTGTATGTGGGTGTGGGTGGGTGTTTACTTATACTAGTGAACAATAATATCTACTGATTTGATCATTTTGAAATTATTGCAATTTAACAATAATGAATCAGGTGTTTTTTTTTATTAAACTTTTGGTTATGAGTATGATATCAAAATTGTTGTTTTCAAGAAGATTGTATAAGTGATGTAGTTAATTGTTTATTGAACTAGCTTCAAAGTAAGCATATTTAACGATTTTAAAAGGTTGGCTTTGTAAGAAGGTTGGTAAATAATTGGTGTTAGAGCTAATTTGCTGGATATTGGTCATTAACTGAACTGGTAATTTCTATTTCTTGAATTTAACTACCTTATTATTTATAATACCATATTAAAAATCTCCATCAGAATTAATATAGTTCTACTCATTACACTGTTCTCTTGATCTTTTTGAATTATATCTTTTAGTTTGGGTTTGATCAGGGTTGATGTTTTTAAATTATATCTTTTAGTTTGGGTTTGATCAGGGTTGATGTTTTTGAATTATATCTTTTAGTTTGGGTTTGATTAGGGTTGATGTTTTTGAATTATATCTTTTAGTTTGGGTTTGATCAGGGTTGTATACTTTTTCAGAGTCTCTTAACTCTTTAGATTTTCTTTTTTTTCAGCTTTACTTTTTAGCACTACTAAATAAATGGAGCATTACTAACATTGTTAGACTTCACTTTTATAACATTTTGTATGATGACATTCACATTAAGTCTTTTTATTACCTTATTAATTGTAGCTTTATTTTCTTCTTTTTTTTCTGTTTTAAGATTTGATTTTGTAGATGCAGTTAGCCCAAAAATAATATCATTCTCCCTTTTTTCTCTCTTTCATTTGTAACAGGGTTGATAATATTAATTTCATCACTTGATTTAGTACTCTTTTTACTAATTAACTTGCGCCAATCCAATGTTATTGTTTTTCTGGTTTTCCAAAGTTCTAACTCTTTCAGATAATAATTATTTTTTTTTCCAGCTTTTTATTTTGATCAATTGATCTGTATCCCTCCTCTCTAAATCAACTATTCTGTTTGTTAACTCCTATAACTGCTTTTAAGTAACCATTTTAAAGTCTTAAATACACAGAACTTAAACTTGAAGTAGTCTGTGCTTAGTTTAGTTTTATAAAAACATTTCTATGGAGTGTTATGAAAACATTATATAATTTCTATGGAGCGTTATGAAAACATTATATAATTTCTATGGAGCGTTATGAAAACATTATATCATTTCTATGGAGCGTTATAATACTATTTTGCTTTATTTTCACTAAAATAAAACTCTGCCATCTTCAAAATTAGCATGCTTATCTCTAATCTAATAAATTATCTAATGACTCATATCTAATGAAGATTTTCCTAAATTTTCTAGCACTTTATATCTGAGATAAGATACAAGATTTAGTAAATTGGGAATAAAGAATAGAATTTTTAAGAATTTTTTTCAAAAGAGCTTTCTCTCAAGAGAAAGCTCTTTTGAAAAAAATGATTATGATTAGATATATAGCAGCCGCACAAGGTGAAAACTCCCTGGTAGAATGAGACTCGACTAAAAGTTTCCATTCCTGCCTGGATCTAGGAGGTTAGATAGGAGATGTATTTATTAGCTTTAAATTAGCAGAGAGAGAAAACATCAGCCTAAGAAAAAAATTGAAGTCACAAAGAAAATCATGAAAAGAACCCCTGTCAGCTTTAGGATAGTAGTAAGTAATGCGATGATAGGGTGAGAACGAAGAAGTGTGAGATGAAAGATATATAGAGATTATTGCATGGTCAGAACCACCTAAATGAAAACAAGGAGAAACTGTACACAAGTTAGGGCCAGAGATAAGACACAAATCAGGGTAAGTAATTAGGGTTGCCTATAAAATGTATTACTTTTTGAGTAAGAGATTAAGAAATACATAAGTTATGAGCTATAGTGACAGCAGGGTCAGTGGCACTAGAGCCAAGCCATTCAGTGTGATGAGCATTAAAGTTACAAAATAACAACAATATTGGCAGAGAGATAAAGAGATAGGGCATGATCATGATTACTTTACTCTATTATCTTTTTGTCTAAAAGAGAGAAAAGTGATAAAGTTAAGAGGTGCTAAGTGGAAGCACATAAAATTTTTTTTAAATAATTCAAACTTGACTTCTCAACAAATTGGTGAACTGATGCATAAGTGCACACCCAAGCCAAGCATGTCATCTTGGAGACTTTGTTCTAAATGAAGATTATATATTCCTTAGAACATTTTTCACAAAAACAGATTTTTTTCTTTTCAACTTTGTATTTTATTTTATATTTTGAGTAAAACAAAATAAATAAATAAAAAAAGCATTTAAAAAGAAAAAAAATTTTAAAAATAAATTTTTTTTTTTCAACTTATAATAATGATTATGACTTCTCTAAAACTATTTTTTCATTTATTTTAGTGTAACTTAATAAAAGTTAATCAAATTTCCTTGAAAAACAAAATCTTTGAATGAATGCATGACTTTGAAATACAGTAAACCCCTGGTTGTTTGAACTGGCACTTGTTCAAATTTCCTGCTTATTTGAAACAATTTTCATTCCCCGTGAATTTTCTTTGTCAAACTTATGCAAATATCCATCAGTTATTGGAACCTGCAGTTATACAAAATTTCGTTTATTTGAAGTGATTTTTTGCTTCCCTTGACAAACACCCTGTCAGTTTTTTGTAGTTTTTCTTTGGCTCAAAATACCATTGCATTGCATTTTGAGAGACAACTATCAAACATAATCAAAATATATACATATAAAAATATATAATAATTAATATAATATAATACAAATAAATAAGTAGAATAATATAAATTAGCAAAAAAATATATGTAAAAAAAAGCGTTATCAAAACATAACAAAAAATCAAAGACTTTAAACATATTGCCATGAAAATTTCAAAATGGTTACTACGACAGCATTGACAATCAAAGAAAAATCAAACTAAAAAGAATCTAAACAAAAAATTTAGTGTTCCTCAAAACACTTTAACTTACTGGATTAAGCATAAAGAAGACATAACCAGAAATTATAATTATGTCAAGTAATTAGGAGCAAAGAGATAAAAATTAAGTTTTGGAAAGCATGATTCTGTTAATAAAGTTGTATATAAATGGTTTATGAACGCATGTGAACAAAATCTAGCAATTGGTGGACACGTTATTAGAAAGAAAGCTTTAAGAAAATCTAAAATCTAAAGCTTTCTCTCTAATAATGTGTTAAAAAGAACTCAACATAACTTTAAGGCTTCAGAAGGTGAAAAAAAATAATTAAAATGTTGTTTTTTGAAGTATTTCTGGCAAGGAAAGGTCATGCACAGAGGAAATGACATCAAGATGAGAGCAGAAATGACAGCAAGTGGAGCGTTTGCCCATGATCCTCTTAAGGTATGATTTGAGGGATTTTACATTGCTGAAGAGTTTAGTTTATTTTATCAACAGCTTCTGATAAAAACCTTACATCTACACAATGAGATTTCAAATAAACGATGAGGTGAAATAAAGAAAAAATAAGCATATTTATAATATTTCCATTAAAATTTAGCAAATGTGGCACAAAAGTTAGTGTGCTTCGCCCAGAAGCAAGCATTACAGGGTTAAACATGAGCAATAGGCATATCTTCTGCCATAGGTAAAGAAGGAAGCATGAATTTCTTTGTTAAATACTATTCCTTAGTGATCCATAACAAGACTGTTATGACCTCTTGAGGTACCTAAAATGAAAATTAAACAAAAAATAAATAATTTGATTGTAACTTGAAAAAAATCACTTTAAAGAGGGTTTTGATTTATATGAAATTTCATTTATTTAAAGTAAATTCTTATTCCCCTATGAGGTTCGAATAAGCATGAGTTTACTGTATTTTAATGAATATTTTGTATAGTATGAAAGCATCTAATTAAATAAAATAAATATTTTCAATACTTACAAATTTCTTTCTTCTTTATTTCAGGAGGATTAGTCAAAGTTGTATTTTTTTGATTAATAATCAACTTCTTTCTACATCTCTAAAAATTTTTCTCATTAGTTTCAAATAGAAAATGAAAATTAATACAAATTAATTAAATTAATTAAACAAAGTTAATAAAAAAATAATTAAAAAAATAAACATTTTTTATTTGTTTGTTAAAAAAAATTCTCATTCAATTATAAAAAACAAATTTTTCAAGCTAAAATCTGTCAAAACACAAATTTATTTTAGGCAAATAACAATAACAATAGATAAATATTATACAAGATAAAAATAGTAATATTACATACATCACTGTCACATTTGAAATATTTTTTTTTTAGCATATTACAAAATGTGGTGCTTGTGAAGGACTTCTTTTTGTAAAGGTCAGATATATTGGAAGTTTGCTTCAAAATACCAGTTTTTGATTGACTGGAAATGTTCAACTTATTTAAACTTTTTTTGTTCTTTAAAGTTTGTTTTCTTTTTGTTCTTGATTGAACAGGCATTTTACAATTTAAAACAATTTCTAGTGGAATTCCATCTGGAAAGTGTAAAATTTCTCCAGTGGATTCATCAATTAAAGAAACAGAATTGTAAATTGAAAACTGAAAATCGTTGTCAGAACTACTCTCATCAAAAACTATTTGATCAGGAACCATTGATACCATATCACTACTAGGCATATTTGGCGTTAGCTGTTGATTTGGAAAACACATGATATTTTGAGACTGTTCTTTACCTAGAATTTTATTTTTATATTCAATTTTTAGGTTGATTGTAGTTAACAAATTAAACTACAAAAAAAATCATAAACAATTTCATGATCAATAGATTTCTCTCCCTTTTAAAAAAAAATTAAATAATAAATCTTAGTAATGCTAAAATTTTTCTTTTAAATGTAATTTTAGTTCAAAAGCATTATACTTCAAAAATAATTAACAATACTTGAAACATTTTAAAGGAAAAAAACAAAACAATAATAATAAATATATACTCTGAATTCTAATCTTTATCTCTATAAATCTCAAATCCGTCTTTGTATTGAACACTGTTGCAATATCTGGGGCAGATTTTCCAATGATTCTCTTTCTCTTTTAGACAAAAGGTGAAAAAAGCAATTGTAAACATAGACAGAACCTGCACTTTTAGCTAAGTTTTAACCAATGTTACATTGTTGTAATGTTGTTTCTATTTTCTATAAATACTATAACAGGCACAGCTCTAAAGGGCTAGCATTTCTTGTGCCATCTACTAAAATTCATTCTCATGTTAATTGTCATTCAATTAAGTCTCATCCTTTTACTGTGACTGTTCCTAAGTGTTCAACAATTAGTATTTGTTTAGTTTGTTTCTTCAAACATCAGTTCTATGGAATTTGCTCAAGTTATCTTGTTTTCCTGATTTATATAATTTGCAATCTTTTGTTACCTGATTCATTTAATTTGCAACCATTTGTTAGCTTGCTTTATAAACTTCACCTATTCTCTTTCGGTAACTTCCAATAGTGGTTGCTTGCAGCCTTGTTGGAAATGAAAATGTTTTTTAAAAAAAAGGAAGAAATGTATATATATATATATATATATATATATATATATATATATATATATATATATATATATATATATATATATATATTTATATATATATATATATATATATATATATATATATATATATATATATATATATATATATATATATATATATATATATATATATATATATATATATATATATATATATACATATATATATATATAGTCATCTAAGCAATTAAAAAAACTAACTTAAATTCCTTATTTTTGATATTATTGATTTTTACCCTTCGATAACAGAAAAACTTCTTAACAACGCTATTCATTTTGCATCTAAACATTGACCCTAACCATAAAATATTGATCTATCACGCAAGAAAACCACTATTATTTAACGATGATCAAGTTTGGATTTCTATGTTTCAATGGGAGCATTTGATGGTGCTGAAATTTGCGAACTTGTGGGAATTTATCTTTTGTTTCAAATTGGACAATTTTACAAAAAAAATGATTTTGGATTATACCGTTATGATGGTTTAGCAATTTTTAAAAAAACGATTGAAAACAAAAAAATCAAAAAATATTTTGTTGAAATACTTTAAAAAAACGAACTCACTATATCAATACAGTGCAACATGAAAGTTATAAATTACCTTGAATTCACATTAAATCTCAATGACCATACTTTTCAACCATATTCTAAGCCCGGAAATTCTTTAAACCATATTCATGCTGATTCAAACCACCTCCCTAATATTTTAAAGCAGCTTCCGCATTCCATTGAGTTAAGATTGTCTGCAAATTCATCAAAAAAGATACCAATTTAAACCCAGTTGTTAAATGGAAAATAATTAAGCGGTGCAATTCTTACAACCCAACCACAAAGTCCTGCAAACAATGTACAAATAAAAAATATGAAATTATATTTTCCAAAAATAAAAATCTGCTAAACAAAAAAAGTGAAATGGTATCCAAGTGGTATCCAAGTGTATCCAAGTGCAGGCATTGAAACAATTTTCTTCTTGCCCTATTTGACACGGGTGATTGAGCAATTTTCTAATTAAAAAATTGTTTGCTTTGATGTCAGAACTCATTCCATTGAGTTGTTATGGTTTTTTCTGTTAATTTTTGTATTTTGTAATTATTAATGGTTTTTTCTTAATTAAAAGAATAAAATATGGCTGATGATTGCCGAAGGGCATGAAACTTTAAGTTCCATCACAAGGTTGTATTTTTTCAAATAATCAAACTCTTTATATTTATATATATATATATATATATATATATATATATATATATATATATATATATATATTATATATATATATATATATATATATATATATATATATATAAATATATATATATATATATATATATATATATATATATATATATATATATATATATATATATATATGAACTTAAAAATATATATATAATATATATATATATAAATATATAATTATATATTATTTATATACTATATATATATAAATATATAATTTAGTAAAAACACTCATCTAATTTTTATGCTCTTCAACAGCATGTTTCACCATCAGAAGGTTCATCAGGAAAAAACTAGACAAATAAAAAATTTTGAGCACTTAGGAACAGTCACAGTAAAAGGATGAGACTTAATTGAATGACAAGTGTCTTCCTGATGAACCAACTGATGGTGAAACATGATGTTGAAGAGCACAAAAATTAGATAAGTGCTTTTACTAAATTATTATTGCTCTGTTCTTTGAGAACATTGAGCACTCTATTTATAGAATACACTAACATAATTTATATATATATATATTTTTGTTATTCACCTCCTCAAGGCCGAGAAGGCCACCACAGATTAGGAGGCTATTTAATAGTGATTATAATCCTCTCTCAACTCTATAACTCCGAAACACGAACCCTGACAAACAAGGCAGCTGCGCGGAGAAACAAGTTGAGCGCGGTACTACCGGAGACGTGGTGAGGATCGAAATCGGAACCTCTTGCTTTTGAAGCGAACGTTTCACCACTACCTATATATATATATTTATATATATATATATATATACCCATATAGTGTAGTCGAAAGAGCGTTTTAATGTAAAAAAAGTCTCTTACGACTACAATTTTAATTACCTTGTCTCTTAAGCTGTTTTTGATTGTCATCGAAATGTCAAAGCAATTAATTTATGTGGAAGTACATTAAATTTAATTGTTTTTTAAAAAATTTTTAAAAAACCGCAATTATAACGACTAGAAAGTTTTTTTTAATTAGTGGTGTTTTTGTTATTGATTTAATAAAAAACATTTTTAAAACATGCGTAAATGTTGCTACATCGACTATCTTATAGCCTGACTCGCAACGGAGTGCTGCTACATTGACTGACAAATAGCCTGACTCGCAACGGAGTGCTGCTACATCGACTGACAAATAGCCTGACTCGCAACGGAGTGCTGCTACATCGACTGACAAATAGCCTGACTCGCAAGGGAATGCTGCTACATCGACTGACAAATAGCCTGACTCGCAAGGGAGTGCTGCTACAACAACTGACAAATAGCCTGACTCGCAAAAGAGTGCTGCTACATCGACTGAGGGTTTGGTTTGGCCAGGCAGTCTATCAATTAAAAAAAAAATTAATTTTTAAAACTTTTTCTGGTCTGGTTTATTAACACGCTCTTTAAAACTACGGTTTATGGGAAACTTTTTTTGATGCCATGCAAGAGACATGCAAGAGTATATATATATATATATATATATATATATATATATATATATATATATATATATATATATATATACATACATATATATATATATATAAAAAAAATGTTTTAATAAAAAAAAAAATGTTTTAATAATTTGATAACGGCATATTTTTAAAAATTAAAAACGCGCTACAAAAACCTACCTAAACTTATCTGAAAATATTTAAAAAACAAAACTTTTTTATAAGTAAATTGTTACTTTATTTAAAATTGTTTCGCTAATATAAAAACATTTGTTAAGAAGTTTTGATGTAATTAATTTCACTTTTTTAGAATATTTTTTATTTAGCGCGTTTCTAAAATGTTTTTTGAATTAACCGCGGTCAAACTGTCATAGCAAAACGTAACTTGTGTGGTCATATAAAGACGTGAAATTGCACGTCTTCCTGTGAAAGCCTGATATATATACATATATACACACACACACACACACACACACATACAAACACACACACATATATATATGTTTATATATATGTATATATATATATATATATATATATATATATATATATATATATATATATATATATATATATATAGATATAGATATAGATATAGATATATATATATATATATAAAATATAATATATATTTTTTAATGCTCAGTGAAAGTATAAAAAAAAACTCAACTATTTTTTTAAATGTGGGGTTCTGCTAGCATTATTTTGTTGGCATAATGCTTTAAAGCAACACTATACACTTTAGGGTATTTTTCAATGTATGATGTGACTTTTTAAAAACTTTTTCTGTAGTTGTTTTTGACCCTCAAAATGATTTTGTTTTGACTTTTAGATGAATTACAAATGTCTTTATGGTGAAAAAAATATCAGCCCTGTTATGGACATAAAGAGTATATCCCCCCCCCCCCCCAATTTAATCTCTCAGAAGAAAGTGACTTTTCAAGAGACAGCCATAAAGAAATATATTCCTGCTACTGATAGTGAAGAGACTTTAAAAGAAAAAAGGTTTGACACAGGGCTCGAATTAACGTAAAAAAATCTAATTGCGAAAAAAAAATTTTTTTTTGCCCCTTCCACCCCCTCATACCTTGCGCTGTTTCGCAAAAATGAAGGAGGGGGGTTGCGTTAGAATAAAATTGTGTCTTATGTACATAATTGTTACTTGTTTAACATATTCTCATATTTAAATATTATCTTATAATTTTCTCGTTTGGCAGGGTTTAAAATAGCGTAAGTTACTGTTATAATTTACAGCCTAATTTATAATTTAAAGTTTAAGTTGCAGTTACAGTGTAATGAGCAATTAACGTATTTAATACTATTAAGATATTAATTTTAGTAATTGTTTTTACTTAACACGATACTTAAAAAAGTAAAAGTAAAAAACTAAGAGTAAAAAGCAAACATTCATAATTAGTCATAGAAAACTATTTCATAATATCATGCTGACAATAAAACATGTGTTATTTTTAAAGAGTATT